TATCTGATTTAAATCTGGAAATTCAATAGTTTTGTTAACAAATTTCCAGAAAAATATTTAATACTTTCTGAAATATAGTCAGAATATATATACAAGTTAGATGTGGTCTTTTTTTATTTTTTCTGAAATAGAATCAGAATATATAGATAAGTTAGACGGGATCTTTTTTTATTTTTTCAGAATATATATGTAAATTAAACAGGATTTTTCTGGAATAAAGTCAGAATTTATATGCAAGTTAGATATGATCTTTTTTTATTTTTTCAGAATAGAATCGGAATATAAGTGAAAGTTAGACAGATATAAAATTATATTTATTATTATATAATTATAAATTATACTCTAAATATTCTAAATATTCTATATATTTACATTTGAATGTTCTATTACTTTTATAATAATTGGAGAAATATCAGAATTGTAGTGAAGAAATGTCAGAATTGATGATAGAAGAATATCAGAATTGTAGTGGAGAAATATCAGAATTGATAATAAAGGAATATCAGAATTATAGTAGAGAAATATCAGAATTGATGGTAAAGGAATATCAGAACTATAGTGGAGAAATGTCAGAATTGATGGTAAAGGAATGTCAGAATTATAGTGGAGAAATGTCAGAATTGATAGTAGAGGAATGTCAGAATTATAGTGGAGAAATGTCAGAATTGATAGTAAAAGAATGTTGAAATTGTAGTAGAGAAATGTCAGAATTAATGATAGAGGAATATCAAAATTAATAGTAGAGGAATATTGAAGTGTAAGTTAAAAAAGCTGGAATATTGAATAAAAAAAGTCAGAATAAAATAATGAATAAAAAAGTCGAAATAAAGTTGGTATAATAAATAAAAAAAGTCAGAATAAAGTTGATATAGTAAATAAAAAAAGCTGGAATAACGAACAAAAAAAAGTCAAAATATTAAGTAAAAAAAGTCAGAATAAAATTGGAATAATGAATAAAAATAAAGTAGTGATAGAAAGATATTTGTCAAAGCCAAACTAACAGAAACCTAATCTAAAAAAAAGTAAATGCTACAAAAATTATTATTTAAATAAAACTGTCAATTTCTCTTACCTATTTTGCATATCTTTTTTCTTTATTAAATACTCTTCAGGAATGAGTTAAAACTCTTCTATTACTACCACTACCTCTTCTAGTTTTCTCATTATTTTCTCTTTTAGTTTCCTTATTATTTTCATATTTTTGTCTAGTCTTTGCTTTTTGAGATTTGCTTTTGATCTCTAATAAAAAAGAAACAGAAACAAAATAAAAAAGGAATAAATAAAAATTCAATAACTACTTAACTTATCTTCAGCTCTTTTTTTTCAAAATAATATAGTTATTATTATTATTATTATCATCATCATCATTATCTTTTAGTTTGTTATCTATTTACTTTTTCAGTTTGTTTTATTTTTTATTTCTTCTTTCCACTCATCATTATTTATTTTTGCTTTTAGATGATTTACAATAAAAAAAATAACTAAAAATAGTACATTTATAAAATATCTTCAATCTCAATTATTTTTAGTTTTTTGGCGAATCTTGGTGCTGGTATTGGTGTTAATAGTGTTGGTATTGGTATTAATAGACAGCAGTTACTTCTTGATAAAATGAAAGATGGTTGATTACTTTTTGGCAATATTTTTTTTGGTGATAATTGAGTAATTATTGTGGGAGATGATAACGAACTGGCAATTTTTGATGGTGATATTTTGGCTTTTGCAGCTGAACTTTTAGATTTTTTTGATATTGATGTCACTGGTCCTTTTTCTTCTTTTTTTCTGTATATAATCATAAATTACACTTACACCTTATTTGTCAGTAATATAAGTAAATATTCATTTAATTCTCTATCAAATATCCTTCAAAGTTCTGATAATTTTTTCACGTATTGTTAAAAATCTGAACTCTAATAAAGATTTTCATGATCAGATTTTCATTATCAGTATGATGAATTTTCATCAGAGCTAGATTTTTGCTATCAGCATGATGGTAATGATATCACTTTTAAATTCTTTTTTGATAATGATAACAGTCTCTTCTCTTTCATCTCTTTTACTAGTTATTACAAATCACTTTTAACATCTCGTTTAATAAGAAGTTATCTTCCAAGTTTGAAAAGGTTGAATTATTCACTTTAAACTAAAAAAGAATAAAAAAATTAAAATAATTGAATGTAATTTTTCTTGAATTTAATTGCTTTTTTGATGACTTCTTCATGTTTGTCAGAATCTTGACTGGACAATGGGAGTTCAAGTTTGAACTGAAATTTTGCTCATTTTCTTAATGAATTCTAAAAGTGATAGCAATAGCAAAATAAGTAACAGAAAACTTGAAAAGAAACTTTGAAAAAATATTCAATGAGCTTCAAATTGTCATTTATCCATGTTTAAAAATTCTGGTCATGTTATATTTTTTTCATTTTGACAAATTTTTTTTTCTTGTATGAATTTAAACTCAAATCTTTCAGATACTAAAGTAAAAATTTAATAATCTTTTAGATTGACGAAAAATATATGGAAGTCTTATATATTCATTTACAATGCCAACAAATGAAGTAGTCTGCATTAAGTTCAAATCTGAAAAACTGAGATGCTCATGCATTTGATATTTTTGTTCTAATGAGAAGATACTAAGTATAGTAATATTATTAGAAGTTGTAAAAATAAAGTTACATCTTGTTGAATAGTCAAATTACAAATATTAAAAGATAAGTTATGACTTAACATTTTGGATTAAAGTAATTTGAGTGATTAATTTGAGTAATTAGTTTAAGTGGTTGATTTATGGTTAATTTTTGGTTGATTTTTGATTATTTTTTGGTTAATTTGAGAAAAGCTTCTTTTCTAAAAAAAAATAAAAAAAAGAAAGAAGATAAAGATCATTTTTATAGCAATTTATACATGTCTAAAAAGATCAATTGTGTCAGATTTTTTTCATATTCTGATAGCAAAGATCTGATGTGGTTAATAGATATATCAATCACATCAGATTTTTACCTGATATTTAACTAATATATATCAATTACGTAAATCATGTCAGATTTTTGCTATCAAAATTTTATCAGATATTAAAAATCTGATGTGATTAATATATCTATCAATTATGTCAGATTTTTATCTAATATTTAACTAATATATATCAACCATATAAATCATATTGAATTTTTGCTATCAGAATTTTACCAGATATAAAAAAATTTGACATAGTTAATAAATATATCAATTATGTCAGATTTTTACCTGATATTTGGCTAATCACATAAATCATATCAGATTTTTGCTATCAAAATCTTACCAAATATGAAAAAAATCTGATGTGATTAATATATATTAACCAAATATCAGGTAAATATCTGACATGGTTAATATATTTATTAATTACATTAGATTTTTTTTATATCTAATAAAATTCTGATAGCAAAAATCTGATGTGATTTATATGATTGATATATATTAGTCAAATATCAGATAAAAATTCAATGTGGTTAATATATCTATTAATCACGTTAAATTTTTTTTATATCTGGTAAAATATCAGAAAAAGATTTAGAGTTTCAAATAGTTAATTTTATTAAGTGATTTAGTTTATTAATTTATTTCTTATATTGCAATAATCTGATTATTTAGCTGGATATATTGCAGTAATCTAATTATTTAGCCAGATATATTATATTGATCTGCTATATTTATCTGAATATATTAGATCATGACTTTTCTGAATTCCTATAATATGTTGAATCACTACAATATATTGTTATTATAGTAACATAAATTTCTCTAATTTGATAATCTTTCTTTGATTATATGAAATTTTCTTTTTCTTAATTTTTACCATTTATCACCTGATTATTATTATTTTTATCCAATCATATAATTATCTTACTTTTATTTTATTACCCTAAATCTTATATTTATATCCTAAAATTCATATTTATTCCCTTTTTCTTATTTCTATATATATTTATCACCCTAAATCTGAGATTTACAATTTTGATCACAAATATTCTACATTAATATTAACATTTCACATATATAATTATATTTAGTAATACTGTATAGATTAATTAGTTAATATATTTGTAGATTCCTTCTTTTATATTTTATTTCTTCTTTTATATTTATATTACACAAAAATCTTAATTT